TAACCTGGTGGTGGTCGGTTTTCCCGAGGGGGACGACTCTATCTACGATGCAGGAAATATTATGTTTTGCTGTGGCTAGCTGAGTAGATAGAAAGAAGATTTATCACGATTTTGGAGATTTCCTGCAAAAAGATGATGCGCGATGCAAGTAGATGCGAGAAATGAAAGAAGATTTTTAGAAGATTGATTCGTTGGTGTGAGATTTTTCGAGCATCTAGAATTGAGATTTAGATGTGTCACCCCCCTCGGGTTTTCCCACAGGTTATGGGCCCAGATGAGGTCGAAGAATAGTGTTTATCTGTTGAAAATTGCGTGTTGGTCGTGAAAGCATTTTTTTGGTTTGCTTTCGGCGTGCTGGAGAAGAGCGCTATAGGTTGAGTGGGCTGTGTTCGTTTGTTTATTGGCCGGTGCGAAGCGAGAACGAACAGTTTCTGGATTGAGTTGCTGCAATCACCGGGTTGAGTAAAAAAAAACAGTTTTGTTCGTATAAAAGTGTACGTAAGCTTGTTTGTATCGCTTGTGTTGATAAACATTTCGTGTGCTGTTTCTCTGAATAGTAAGAAAAATGGCTGAGAAAGTGATAATTCCGCATCCAGCTGGCAAATGCGGATGGAGATGCTGCTGAAAAGAGACGAGTTGTGGTTCGCGGTGCACGAAGTGAAACCGGAACCTGTTACTTCCACCTGGACGAAGGCTGATCAAAAGGCGTTGGCGACTATCGTTCTGTTGCTTGAAGATAGTCAGCTGACGTTAGTGAAAAACGCCAAATCGGCAAAGGATGCATGGAATGCATTGAAGAAATTCCACACCAAAGCGTCGATGACTTCTCGTGTGTCACTGCTTCGGAAGATCTGCAGCTTGAATATGGTGGAAGGAGGGAGTGTGGAGGAACATCTCGTTGAGCTGGAGGAATTGTTTGATCGGTTGGCGTGCGCTGGCCAGAAAATGGAAACTCCTCTGAAAGTGGCGATGATTTATCGCAGCCTTCCAGAATCATACGGCGGATTGGTGACGGCTATGGAAAGTCGTTCGGATGCGGATCAGACCATCGAGTTCGTGAAACAGAAGCTGATTGACGAGCATTTGCGACGAGTCGAACGACTTGGAGAACGTTCGTGTAAATTTGGTGAAAAAGCGATGTTGTTGCAGAACAAATAACGAAAGGAAAAAGTGTGCTACTATTGTCGGAAGCCTGGCCACTTTCGTCGTGATTGCGGATTGCTGCAACGGGAGAAGAACGAAGAAGAAAATGGTAAAAAAAAGTGTGCGAAAAGCTAAACAGGCTGTCGAGAACGAAAGCCCGATTTGTTTCACGATCGGAAGCAATCGGTGCAGTGGTTTGTGGTATATAAACAGTGGTTGTTCAAGCCACATGACGAACGATGGTTCTTTCGAAACTTGGACAGATCTGTGAAGATTGATGTTATTTTGGCCGATGGAACTGTTACGAAATCGGCCGGAATCGGTGAAGGCATTGTGAAGTGCGTCGATAGTGACAGACGCGTGAGAGACATAACCTTCAAAGATGTATTATTGATTCCCAATCTGGATAGCAACTTGCTGTCGGTGCGAAAGATGACACAGAAAGGCCTGAAGGTGAATTTTGATTCGTCGAAGTGCACAGTTGTTAGTTCGAAAGGGAAAGTGGTTGCAGTTGCCGTACTAAGTGAAAACCTGTACAAGTTGAACGTGGCGCAGGGTGCGAGGCTAACCAAGGAAGCTCGTTGTACGGAAAGCTGTCAGTTTGCATGGTACAGGCCTGGAATGATTAAGAATTGTCGGAATGTTTCGAAACTTGATGACTCGGTGATGAACGGAGCTATGGTTCAGGAGGAGTATTCGGAGTCGGATGAGATTTTTCATGATTGTCCGGTTCAACGATTGGATCCAGATCTGAAGAATTTTGTGTCGGTGAAGATGGATTCCAATCTTGTCGTCGCTCTTCTGACCGAGCTAATCGAACGCGTGAAGAAAAAGTTTTTCTAACGATTTTGGACTGATCAACGATTGGTCGTAGTGCCAATATCGAGGAGGAGTGTTGGTGGGGGCGATATTTGGGCACGCCACCACTGAGTCGATATTGACTGAGTGTGAGTCGACAAAGACAGAAAGTATACGTGATAAATAAATAGTCTCCAATGTACCGCGATACAATAAAGTATACTTTGACCGCATTCCGTTGTTTGTTTTTCTTCCCTCGAACCGCGATTGCCCGTATAGTGTCCTCCTCTTGTCGGATATTTTCCGCTGTGGTAACCTGGTGGTGGTCGGTTTTCCCCAAGGAATCAAAAATATCTCCAAATGACAAAATAACAAGCGATCAACGAACCGAATAATAACGCTATGTCAGAAGTGGAAAACAATAATGATATAATCTTCACCGTTCTTTTTCATGACAAGCAGCTCGTGCGACCCAACTCATTCGAGGCGGTAGAAGGAAACGAGCAAATTGTTGGCAAGCTGCTTCACGAAGTAAAGCCGAAGATGATACACGTGTGTTAATGGGATTTTTTTTTGTTATGTCTTTTCCCGATTCATATCAAGCTATGTCCTCATCCGTGTATATTGCAACAAAGCAGGCAAGCAATATATCATTATCCTTCTACCACTCGGATCGAGCTTTGTTACAGAGCGAGTTTGTCATGGTAGTCGTAGCAACCGTTTTGTCTGTATCGTTGGTTGCTTTATGTGTTTGGATTCGCTGGTTTTCCCACAAGAACAAGGTCCCGTTTCCAAATAAAAAGTATAATACTTTCAAGTTAATTAAACCAAATTTATTGAATTTGTTTTTTGTTGGATAGTACCAATAATACTTTGGATACTTTAACGTAAGTAACTACAATACTAATTAAAAAAATGAATTTCAATGAATATGCTTTGCAGCTTAAAAAAGGCTAAACAACGTCTTTTTCTGATGAGGATCCGAACGAAACTCAACGATCCAACAATGAGTATAACGACTATAATCAAACCTGCAAATTTAGCTTTAACAGAGGCACAATGAGCGATTTTCTGATCGCCTTTTCACGAAGAGTGGATAAAATAAATGACCAAATCGCTTACACAGCAAAAAAAAAATTTAATATCGAATGTAATTCAAGCTGATGTATGAAATAATGATCTAATAGCAAAAACCGGACACAATATTACATCAATGAATGTAATTTTGTTCGCAAAATCGATGCACATCGTACAACGTTATATGGTTATATTACACAACCGATGGATTGACCTGGTTGGATTTAATATTCAACAATTTTTTTTCTGTGATCTGCGACTGTCATGTAGTAGAATTGGCTGGTATTATGTGTCTCACAAACTTCCCAATATTTTCTTTTTGTACAAACAAAATATTATCATAATATCTTATTATGCCATAATTTTATAAAACATGTTTTTTTAGCCCAAATGAATGGATAGTACCCTGTTAGAGACATAGGGATACAATATATATATAGGCCTATCCAGCTTTCCATGCTCGGTAATGGCGGCCTGTTTGTATGAATAAATGTATTCTTCACTGTGCTTTTTGACACTAACTGGAGGGCGTATGTTGTTCCATTTTCTACTGTTCCTGGGAGAGGGAAAGGGATGGGGTTGAAATTCGAACATCCAGATAGTGTCAAAAAGCACAGTGAAGGATACATTTATTCATACAAACAGGCCGCCATTACCGAGCATGGAAAGCTGGATAGGCCTCTTTAACTCGCTATCTTAAAAAAGGGCTTGATGATGCAGTTTTTAAGATTTGGCATGGCAAGATATGGAAGAGTAGCTTTAAAATGCTTCTAGTTTTCAAAATTACTTTTTATCTGGTCTGGTTGGACAAGAGTGCCACCTTAATATTGAACCACCGACAAACCGACATGAATGATCATACAAATTATAATTAAAATTGATCAAAGCACAAATTTGAGATCTGTTGCCGTGTTCGCGGAAAATTTTTAATATTAGCCACGAACACGCGTACAAAATTTATGAGTTGGTTCGTGTCTAACCTATTTCCGACAAATTATTTTTATCTAGATAAAACATTTCTATGGTTTTGACAGATGGGATCGCTGGACATTTTAATCGGCCGTTATGGATATCAGCTAACAAACATATTTTGCAGAGATATCAGCAAAAGTAAATGCCGAGGTAATCGGCTGTTGAAGATTTTACCGAGCTATATTAAGTGTATACACCGTTTTGCAAATTCATAACATTGCCTTCATAAATCAGCAAATTAAATCTTGCGAAAAATCGAGCCAAAAACAGTTTATGATTTTTTCAAAATGTCTCAAATCTTTTTTTTTTTTTGCAAAGAGTGCCAACCCCTATAGGGCAAAAGGGCCCTATAAATGGTGTTAACTGGCGTTAAATCAATTAATACTTGATTAAAAACATAGCATTTTAATTATTAATCAGCTGTTATTGTTTACTCAAGCTTACTATTGCATTTCACAATATTATTCAATACAAAACAAATAAACCATGTTTGCCAATGAAATGAAAATTTCATTTCATTGGCAAACATTTTAACAAATTAAATGAAAACTTATGTCGACTCGGAAAATCGCAGACTGTTGACAACACCATCTTTCAAACCGACCTTGCACTCGAAAAGCGTCGCCTTCGTACCTCCGCTGATGCCAAACGCTAACGCTCCAGCCAGCTGTCATTTTGTTCGCGAGTCGAGCATCGGCTTTTCTTTTGGCAGTTTTTTTTTCCCGAAGTCCATTTTCCCTCCCGCTTCTTTGACTGGGTTCTGTTAGTTTTGTTTTGGTTATTGCGTTTCGTCAGCAACCATCAACAGAAAGCAGCAAGGGAAAAAAAAAAAGTGCGCCAGTGTTGCAGCAGTCGTCAGTCATCCAACGAACGAACGAAAGACAGTGTGAAAGCAAAGAGCGCCAAAGAAGTCCGCCTAAATTTTCCCGCACAAAACATCCCGGATGAACAGTCACCATAACAGATAAGGACACGCACCGAAAAAGTTGGATTATGCATTGTAATTTGGACGGAAATCGGCGGAAATGAATACGGTTCTCAATTTAATCGGACGGCAGCAGGGCAACGGTAAGAGTGGAGTTAGTTTTGCTAGTGGAACAGGAATTTTCATGAATTTTGTGTGTTTACAGGTTTCTCGGCGTCGTATGATTCGGCACTGACGCGGTTGACCGTTCACGAACAGGATAGCTGGAAGGGAATTACTCCGTCACTGTTGACATCGGACTTCAATCCGTCGCCACCGATATTGGCGGCTAAGTTTGCGAAATGCGAGGGAAAAGAACATATTCTGGCCATTGCCAACGAGGACGGGAAGATAGCGTTGCAAGATACGAATCTGCGGAATGATGAACCGGGTGGTGAGCGGGCAATGGAGGGAAAACAGTGCCACATGAATGCCGTGTTCGATATCGAGTGGATGCCGGGCCATATGAGCTTGGTGTCGGCTTCGGGAGATCATACGGCGCGGTTGTTCTCGGTGACGGAATCAAGTTTGGAGTGCAAGCGGATATTCAACGGTCATTCACGGTCGGTAAAGACAGCGGCGTTTAGGCGGACAGATCCGGCGGTCTTCGCTACGGGTGGAAGAGATGGAGTAATTGTACTGTGGGACTCAAGGGCGTTCTTCGGATCAACTATGGCCCCGAGAGCGGATAACTGTATCTACAGTGGCCACGCCGGGGGACCGGGAACGCCTTCTGGATATAGGAAGCGAACGCGAGCGACGCCAAAGATTCCACCGAATGTGTGCAGTAGCAGTATAACTGGCCTTGCCTTCCAGGACGATAACACGTTGATCTCGTGCGGTGCCGGAGATGGTATCGTTAAGGTGTGGGATGTTCGACGGCATTACTCCAGTCACAACCGGGATCCCCTGCCGAAGCACAGTTTTCCCTATGCCGGAACGACGACCTTGAAGGGCTTCACGAATCTCCTGATTGACCACAGCCGGAGCCGGCTGTACGTGAACTGTATGGACAATCATATCTATTGTTATAATATTTCAACTTATGCGGCAGAGCCGATCCAAAGGTATAGCGGATTGAAGAACGATACGTTCTACATTAAATCGTGTCTGAGTCCGGATGGACAGTATTTGATAAGCGGTTCCAGCGATGAGAAGAGCTACATTTGGAATGTGGACAATCCTAAACCGTTGGTTCGGCTGGATGGGCACACGGTGGAAGTGACAAGTGTTGCGTGGATGCAAACTCACAATGATATTCGGATTGTGACATGCAGCGACGATGCGAGGCACAAGATCTGGAGAGTAGGTCCGGAGGAAATCGACGAGGACACGAAGGTGCAATACAGGGGTCACGCTGAGTATTGTGATAGCTACCGGAAGGAATCGGCCAAAGTTCGACTGAAAGCATTGGAGTTTACCCCACGATCCATTCGAAGGCTGGTCGAGGAAAATGAAAAGACTCCCAACACCATCGAGAAGAAGCTCCCGCTCAAACGAACGTTTTCGGAAATGAACATCGACGATCTGGAAGATCCATCTACCTCCTACGTTGAAATCAAACGACCCAACATCGAAACCCGGGGACGACGTCTGTTCAGCCCTGCCAACAACAACTGCAAATCGTCCGGATTTGCAGCCCTGGAAATAGCCGCATCTTCGAGCTCTTCGCGGAGTCTCCATACCGTCCTCGAGGAAAGCGAAGACCAATCACCATCATACTGCAGTAAATCCCCTCTGACCATATCGGACCTCAATCTCAAATCACCCGAACTGAGTGTCGAACCCAGCTGCAGCAAACTCCCCAATGGCTTATCTTCGCCGACCATTAACCTGCCGAACTTTGTCCTAGATGGAGAAGCTCCCCATCTGGTCAACGTTTCTAGCAATGCCAACAAACGCAAGCTCAAGGAGAACGTCGATTGGCTAACGAAAATTCGCAAACAGAAGCTCCTCCAAGCCGCGAAAAGCACCGAGTCTAGCTCCACCAACGGAACATGCTCCGAAGAAGTGTCCCTTCTACTTTCCCCACGACTTCAAATGTTGAAAACCTCCGAAGATCATCCCTCTTCCAGCAGCAGCAATCACCAAAGCTACCACCACCTCCAGCCCAGCACACCCCGGCGGAGATCGTCCCGGTGCGGTTCGATCGACGGACAACCTCGAACGCCTAGCAGCCGATCGAGTCGACCAAGCACACCGGAGACGTCGATTTTGCGATTTTTTACCGTCAAGACTCCCACCGGCAGCGGGACCGATGTGTAAATTTAAAATTTTCCTTCAATTGACAATCTTTTTTTTTTTCTTACGTTTTTTCTTCTTCTTTTCATTATCTAATCAGACAAAAATTTGACGAATTAACATTGCTTTTTGCGCGAACATTTCAACTTACCATTTTTTTATGATTTTTACTTATAAGATAACAAGCTAACACAAACACTTGCTATTGTTGTTACACTATCACTAAACTAATCGGGAAAACTTAACGCAACGATGTGTTCTTATTAAAAATGAGCTAATTATATCGACTGAGGAAACGTAGCGAATAAATACGTGAATTTGTGAAACAGATTTCAAGCCCCTACTGTGGCCATTCTTTAGCTTAAAGTACCTACCTACTACTACTTCGATGTCCTACTAGCTTGATAGGCTTGTATATATTTTAGAGATGTATTTTACCAAAAACTAAAGAAATATAAATTATGCTTGAATTTGTATGTAAACAAGGAGTTTTTTTTTCCTCATAAATATGGTTCGGCTTCCCCTAGCTCATTCGGTAAATGGGTCAGCTATGAAGCAAGCCCATGCATACTGGAGGCGACTGGGTTCGATTCCCGGTCGGCTCTAGGAATTTTTTGGGTTGGAAAGTTTCCCGACTTCCCTGGGCACAGAATATGATTGGACTTGCCACACAATTAAACTAACAAAGTTACTAGGAAAGTTTTAAGCTCTACTATTTAGTAGTCTAGCAACATAGAAAACATTATAAACAATATATTTGAAGCAGCATGTAATTTTTACGAAATTTCAAATAACATGTTCTGTCAATTTAACTTTAACACCAGGATAAATATTGCAATCAATCATGTTTTGTTGTTTTTGACATCATCCACATTCAGAGGGCCAGTCACATCGAATGTATGGGAATGGTAGGAAACCATTTGAAAATGCATGGAAATTTTCAGTTTTTATTCATTATCCACTTTATGGGCAGTTTTAGATGCACACAAATTGCACGAGTACATTACTATGGTGATAAGGTAAACACTCGTTTATTTGTTTAATTAATTATATGATTTGAGTAGTAGCTATACAGAAGATCCGAGAGATGTCGCCCCTTCAGTGGTAGGAAAGTCATTTTTGCAGTATGGAGAATATCAGAAAATCCACGATTTGTGACTAAACATGCTTTCACAGAAGGAAACAAATAAACGAGTGTTTACCTTATCACCATAGTAATGTACTCGTGCCATTTTTGTGCACCTAAAACTGCCCATAAAGACGATAATGAATAAAAACTCAAAATTTTCCTGCATTTCCAAATGGTTTCCTACCATTCCCATACATTCGAAGTGACTGGCCCTCTGGATGTGGATGATGTCAAAAACAACAAAACATGATTAATTGTGTTAAGCTAGATATTTTGTATGTCCAGTCTTCTAAAAGATGGCACAGAGAACAGACATGGAGGCTCCAACAAAATTTCTCTAAAAACTTGTGTAAAGATTCCTATTCGACTTAAGCGCCACTAACGGCGACTTCCCCACTTAAAACCCCTCTTTGACAACATGATGGCGCTGGCGTTGCACAAATTACACTAGACACTAAGCGCTAGTAGCGCCAAGTGGCAATTTTCAACAGAAAATTTATCGATACTAGCGCCAAATTGGTCGAAAGTGAAAAATTTATAGAGAAAATCAGGAGATGCTAACACCACGTAACGGCGACCTTCCCACTTATTTTACACAAGTTTCTGACCAAACTTGAATGTCTGTTCTCTGTGATAATATCTCAAAAATTCTGATACTTCCTAATACCACAGAGAACAGACGTCCAAGTTCGATCAGAAACATGTGTAAAGTTAAGTGGAAACGTCGCCGTTACGTACCGTTAGCATCTCCTGATTTCCTCTATAAATTTATCACTTTCGACCAATTGGGCGCTAGTATTGATAAATTATCTGTTGAAAATTGCCAATTGGCGCTACCAGCACTTAGTGTCTAGTGTAAGTTTTGCAACGCCAGCGCCATCATGTTGCCAAAGAGGGTTTTTAAGTGGGGAAGTCGCCGTTAGTGGCGCTTAAGTCAAATAGGAATCTTTACACAAGTTTTTAGAGAAATTTTGTTCGAGCCTCAATGTCTGTTCTCTGTGGTGCTATTGACTAAGTCAAAGCACTATTCATCACATGTTAATTAAATTATCTGACAAATTTAATGGATAAGATTTTTTTATATTAAGACTAAAGAGGCTGAATTTATAAAGAGACGACAGGTTAAAATTGGAACAATCGATTATCTATCAAAGTCATGGTCATATGAAAAGTCATTCCAATCGAGCAGAAGAGCTGTCAAATTGATAAGATGTCGTCTCTTTATAAATTCAGGCTCTTTAATACGCCTTTTTAATAGAAACTAATCGATCGATTCAACCTCTGGTGGTGAATATGAGAACGTAAAAAAGAGTGTTGTGAGCAGAAATTTTTGCCGTGAGACATTGGAAGCGGAACACTTTTTCACTTTTCCTGCACGGCGAATGAGAACGACCCAAATTTGAGTTTAGTTCACTCATAATCGACAAAAGTGCAGGAACTCAGCGATGAGTAAATTCAATTTCCTCATTTTCCGGCAGATTTTTTAGGTTTTCCACAGAAAATGAGACCATGAGACAAATTTACTCATCGCTGAGTTTCTGCACTTTTGGCGATTATGAGTGAACTAAACTTAAATTTGGGTCGTTCTCATCCGCCGTGTGATAAATTGATTCATCTGAGATGAAAGTTTGACAGATAAAATGAGGGGTTATTGGTTTTACCTATGTTTCGAGGGGTGATTCGACAAGCTTGGGACCGAAGATAGTACCAGAGGTGAGCCAAAAAGTTGAGCACGTTTCTTCGGGACCTACTTGTCTTAGAGTTACCTCTATGGTTACGTGGTGTTAGCATCTCCTGATATTCTCTATAAATTTTCCACTTTCGACCAATTTGGCGCTAGTATCGATAAATTTTCTGTTGAAAATTGCCACTTGGCGCTACTAGCAACAATCAATACGAAACTAACGATTTTAAATTGGCTCACCACTTTAGTAGCCTATTGGTCCCAAGCAAACGATTAACGTACCCTATTCTAGTTGAAACTCTATTACTACACTATGTTTGTTTTGATTCGCTATGAAAGTTTGACAGATAACATCAGGGGTGTGTGGATTCATGCAGAACATGCAGGGGTGAGTGAAATAGCTTGGGACTGCTTGGGACCGTTGTTCTGGTACTGAGTGAGCCAAAAATAATAATGATTTTCTTCGGGACCCAGTGGTCTTAGAGTTACCTCTATGCTACTAGCACTTAGTGTCTTCTGTAATTTGTGCAACGCCAGCGCCATCATGTTGTCAAAGAGGGTTTTTAAGTGGGGAAGTCGCCGTTAGTGGCGCTTAAGTCGAATAGGAATCTTTACACAAGTTTTTAGAGAAATTTTGTTCGAGCCTCCATGTCTGTTCTCGTACCTACGATTAACGTACCCTATTCTAGTTGAAATTCTATTACTACACTATGTTTGTTTTGATTCGCTATGAAAGTTTGACAGATAACATCAGGGGTGTGTGGATTCATGCAGAACATGCACATACGCTTTAATTGATAGGCGATAAAACCATAGAGGTAACTCTAAGACCACTGGGTCCCGAAGAAAATCCAGTACCAGAACAACGGTCCCAAGCAGTCCCAAGCTATTTCACTCACCCCTGCATGTTCTGCATGAATCCACACACCCCTGATGTTATCTGTCAAACTTTCATAGCGAATCAAAACAAACATAGTGTAGTAATAGAATTTCAACTGGAATGGGGTACACCATAGAAGTACTTGGGACCAATAGGCTACTCAAGCAGTGAATCAATTTAAAATCGTTAGTTTCGTATTGATTGTTGATAAAACACTTTCATACATCTATGTATAATTAAATAATATGTGACTGGTTATTGCTCAACCGTAGTAAAAGTTTTGAACTAAATAGATAATCTTTTAATAACTCTTTAATGCATGGTGCAAATGCAGACAAATTAAAAATATCCCTATATTTTAGTATTCATATGGTGCACTAAATTTATGCTCCTATTTGGTATAATAATCACCATAAATATTGCACGGCATGCTGTGAAGCATATACAGATTGGTTTAAAATTGTAATAAAGTCGTCGTATATTGGAAACAATAATATCAGCTATTATTACCAACATACAAGGATCATGATTTCACATCAAACATCGAAAGAATAAAATCACAATAAAATATTTCTCAATATTAACTATCATCCAAAAACCCCAACTTAAAACCTTCAAGCTTGTCAAAATGTTTTGCGTATCATGTTTTATCAACTTCTTCAGGAGCGATTTATGCGGTTGTAATATAGTTTTATGGTAGTAATCAAAAGGTTGTTAGAACTTTCTGACCTGGAGGAGGTTTTATGTTTTCATTTTTAACAACCACGTGTAGAGTGTGATAAAACTGACATAAAACCTATGCTCCTAAGGTAGTTCGCATATCAAGTTTTAATCATCGCATTAAAACTGGGCCAATTGGTCATGAAATGGCTGTATAGGTTTATATAATTTGTTTATATCAACTGCTATCCAGGCATGGAAAATCATTTGCATTCATTTCATACATTCATTTACATTCATTTGCCTCTAACTTTTTTCATCAACAGCATTCCGCAAAAAGATGTAAAGAGCTTCTGTAGGTTTTGTTATTAGCTACAACTTTTGCCCATAACTCAAATCTGTATCTCTTATGCATTACGAAGTAAAGCGGGCAGAACATGTTACTGTTTTTCAGTGAATGTAAAATACATTCACTGAAAAACAGTAGTGGCTTCTGTTTGCTCTGGTTCGTCATGCATAACTGTTTTTGACTAAAGTAAAAGTATTGGAGGACTGCGAGGAAAAAAGGAAAAGAAAGTTACATAACAACAAACTGAGGTCACTACAATACTATTTGAACTACACAACACAACAGAGAGACCATAAATCACACAGTTCAGTTTACACAGCTGAGGTTCAATCCGTCGAAGGTTTTGTGGTGAATCGCTCGACGCAGCAGTTCTCAGAAGAACAATTGACACTTCTCAACAAGGGATTAGGATATGCG